CACACACACACACACAGGCCCTCACATTGACTTACACTCATTTCCTCTAACCTCAATCACAACTACTACCTGCCTTAACCTAAACCTAACCTAACTCAAATCATAAAACACCTCAACATTTAATGACTTCCATTTCATGGACTTCTACTTTGTCCCCATTCAGTCCCCATAATGAGACTGTGTAAACAGACTTAGGTCCCCACGATTTCTGTAATACCTGGACCACACACACACACACATGAAATAATGCAAAGAGGTGTACACACACACTCACACACAGGGCAGCACTGTCACAGAGGGGCTTGTTGTTTGCTTGTGGCAGCGGTTGACCAATAGAGGGTGGTGTTGCATTGCAGGTCTGAGCAGAGAAAGACCATCATCATGTTGAGCTGGGAGCAGCGCGGAGCTCATCACATCAACACCTGCCTTTCTAATCTGCTTTTCATTACTGATGACTGGATAGAAAAAAGAAAATCACCCCTTAAATTGATGATGCTGACATTAAGACTTGATGGTGGCTGTTAAAGAGGCCAGTCAGCTGGAGTCTCTTACATGTATCTGAAATAATGTGTCTCTTTCTTTAACCCTTTTTTTCATCTTGTCAGCAATGAAATATTTCAGCAATCTTTGCATTTAATGGGAAAAGAAGTGTGCAGTCCTGTTCTTAAATATATTTTGATTCAAGACAGAACCTAATATTCTTTCTTAAAGTAAACAGTCTCACCACAAGGTCTATTTTATGGGTCTTCTGGATCTTTCACAGATATTACATGATCTTCTTCAGCCAATAAAGGCTGTTTCCAAGGTCAAAAAACTTATAGGCTCATATGGAAACTAATACGTCCTTAAAATGGCCTGAAAAAAAAAAAAACAATTACATTTTCACACCTACTTGGCAAAAGAAGCTCACGTGATTTGATTTAAAGCTCTGAAACAGCTACTGAATGGACCCTGCAAGAATGGACTTTGAACAGATAATATTCTTCATGATTTGATTGAAAAAAATCCACTTACTAGATTTTGTTCCTGAGATTTCAGTTGCATTTCTTCATCATCATCTGTGATTAGCTCAGTTCTACAAACAGACGAAGCTTCATTAAAAGTTATCAGTTATCAGACGATCCTGGATTCTGATTGGCCTAGTGTAAAAAATGTTGACATGTTTAAAAATAGACTAAATTTAGCATTCCTATCACAGCGTCTCTGTAACGTTGTGAAGTCACTGTGCAGATTTGTTTTCCCCCCAACATCCTGCTTTATCTCCCAGCATGCATCTGAACACATAAACATCAATATTAGCAGTTTAGTGGTGAACAGTTGTTGGGAAAGTGATCTTAAAACTCTAAAGGACACCTCCACGTCCCTCTAATTAAATCTTAACCGCCCAGCCGAGGCGATGGGCAATAGGAGGAGGGAGGGAAAAAAAGGCTTATTTAGCATTAACATAAAAACAAACAGCCGCATATATATATGCAAATGAAGGAAGGGCAAAAGCAGGATGCCAGGAGCCATCCGCCATAACTCACACTGATGGCCTTTAAGTGAGAAATCGCCTTCCAAAAACGCCCAATAAGAAAGTGGGAATGATGCACCTGTCGCCCGTCTGACTAATGAGTCAATCGGGTTGCAAGGACAAGGAGCACATCCGGGTAGTGAAGTGGGCCTGGAGTGTCACTCATGATTCCACAGTAGTGAGGATTTCACAGCCTTAGAAACAGTCCAGAACGGCAACATCACACCTTAAATACATTAAAGCTGCAATAAGAAATGATTTACAAGTTGTAGTAACATCAGCAGGGCTCAAACTGATAACAGTGTAGACCTGAAAATGTATTTTAGAGGCATCCCTGGTGTGAGTGTGTGTGTGTGTGTGTGTGGACTGAATATGAGCGACAATGAAGACAGCTTCTTCTTTCCCTCCGTCCATCCGCCAAGCTGCTCAAAGCAGCTTTAATCCCATATCTTCATGAAAAAAAAAATCACTGGCACTGAGTCGCGCCTTAAAAATGACAATGATTTACATTTCAACATAATGCTCTCTGTCGGCTGTTATTGTGACAAAGTGCTGCATGTATCCCTCCCAAATGAAAGTGGGTGTTCTGTTATGTGCACAACAAAGACATTTGGACGAACCTGCCATCCTCTCCTTTTTCTTGTAAATGAGCATGGGAAATCTATTTATGTCCTCCTACAGTATACTGGTGAAATAAGGGAAGGCTTTTGGCTTATGGAGAGACAGCCTGAGCAACCGAGACGAGCCTCCGTGAAGATATATAGAAAGAAAGAAAGAAAGAAAGAAAGAAAGAAGGAGAGCGATGGAGAAGAGGAGCGGCAGCACTCGAGGCGATGCAGGAAAAGTAGCAAGAAGTCCAAACACAAAGCTGGGTGGATGAGGGACAGGGAAAGGCGTTCTCGCTGGATGATCTGCCGCTCTGACAACACCTGGCCCAGGAACAAACTACCGGCTTGTCTAGATGCGAGGTAGGGAGGGATAAAAAGAACCCTGAGGCCCTGCCCCGCCCCCCCCCCCCCCACCCTCTTTTGCAGGCAGCGGGGTTGAGGATAGACATGGAGCCACTAAGTTGAAATGCAGACATGCAGATGAAGAAAAAAAGGGGTTTTTGGAATGTGATAGCAGCTAATCCAGCTCAGATGTGGCACTGTAAGGATGAAGGGGTTGGCAGCTGTAGTTTGCAGTCATGGCTGACTGGCCACTGGTTCAAACCTCTGCTTTAAAAAACACCCAGGTTCTTCTAATACAAATCTGAGCAAGGTGGGGTTTCATCACAGAGACGCCACTGCTCAGCTACCACAACTCACCCACTTTCTATCTGTATACACACACACACAGATACACACACACACACACACACTCCTCTACATGTTCCTCCAAGTCACCAAATTTTACTTTAGCTTTTGAGTCTCCTCCTCTCCCACAGGGACGTGTGAGGATGAAAATCAGATGCTCCTCATTGTGCCTCTCTGTTTAACAGTGGGTGCTGCTGGGAGCAGTCAGCAGCCTGCATGATGCTGCTTTCTGTCACCGCACCAGTTATCCATCATCAGCCCGCATCCCATACACACACACTATACACACACACACACACACACACACACACACTCTGTGTCAGTACCTGCATATACCGTGTATGTGATGGTGTGTGTGTGTGTGTGTGTGTGTCAGTTATTACAGTTTTCTCTTGTCTTGTGTTTTGTAATTTTACTTTGAAAATACAATATATTTCTTGATAAATAGTCAGTGAAATATTTTTATTAGTGACAACTAAATGTCTGTTCACCTTAAACATTTCCATTTTCATCTCCCACTTCAGCTGGAGTCAGTTTTTTTTTCATCCTGAGGTCACCGTGAGGTCACAAACACGCTCTGTTCAAAAAACCTAACGTTGTTAATTCTTAATTCTCTGACATTTACATCACTTACATTATTAATTAACGTGATTAAACAATTGAGAGAGAGTGATGTGTGTTCTCATAAACTGCACGCTACACGCAGGTTATTATTAAACGCTTTGAATGGGTGAATGTGAATGAAATGTGTGATCCATAAATTTGCTTATCGCGAGTAACCGTCGGATAAACATGCAGCCCTACATGAATTAAAGATCTGGTGAAACATAGACACACGTGTTATATGATGAACTTAAAACAACACGGGCTGATTCACCTGCTCAGGCAAAAAACATAAAATAACAGGATTATATTTTTTTTAACTGAGGCGCATTTAAATGTAAAACACAGTGAGTTAAATTCATCCACAGGCAGCTGGTGTGCTGGAAGACGGGCCTTTATTGTGGTGAAGGCGTCTGCACGTGGAAGTGGTTTAAAAGGGTCAAATATTCAGTTTAAATAATATTTTATCATCGGAGAAATTGAAGCAGTCCGTCCAGTAAACGGGAGAAGTGTGTGACAAGCGGCACAATGACAGACTACGAGACTGCATGCGTTTTAAATGTGAACACACGCTCCTGCAAAGTGTCCAGTGTCCTGCGGACGAGCTACGGAAGCGCCTCAGGTGACACTTTAACACGAATAAATCCCGTTCTAACAGTGACGGGACACCGACGGAGACTTCCTGAGCGACTCTGACCACTGCCGCCGTGCGCGCCACACGCCCGAGTTTGCTTGTGTGTGCGTGTGTGTGCGTGTGAGTGTGTGTATGTGTGAGTCAGTGTGTGTGAAAGCCACCACTAGTCGCCCCCAGTGCTCTTCAGTCTCCACTCTCCCTTCTCACCGCAGACTGAACGTCACGTCCGCACTTGAACTTGAGTTTTCTCCCATTGTAGAAGCCAGAGAGCCGCACAGAGCCGCACAGAGCCGCACACAGCCCGGGGATGCGGGACTCTGCAGCTACAGCACAAAGAGAAAAGAGGGTGGCAGCCTGTCCTCAAACCAGCACTGGGCTTTGACTTGAAGAGTTAGTCTAACCCGCCCGCCTGGCTGGCACTGCCAGTGCAGCAGAAGTGCCCACCACTTGGCGACACCCCGCGAAGTGCCGAGGAGAAAATTGGATTCCTATTTCACTCACTTTCCGACGTTAATTGCATCCGTTCACCTGCTTTCTCCGGACAGGGACGCGCGGTGTCCAAGGTGGCCCGAGAGTGGACACAGGTAGTGACCTACCACCAGGAGCTGACCGCCGACCTCCGCCTCGCCGCGTCTCTCCTCCACTCCACTCCTCTCCTTTCTCCGCTCACTTCTGACAGATGGTGTGAAGGCAGCCGACGGCAGAGACGGACTGTCCCCCTCCCTCACCACCGCCGCGACCGAAGCAGGGAGGCGCGCAACCACTTTGGCACCAAGCTCCGACCGAGCGCCCGGCCGCCCAGCGCTGCGCCACGGCCGGTCACAGCAGAGCGCAGGAGCCGCTGCCTGCTGGAGGGAGATCCGTCGCGGAGGGGTCATTTCGAGGGCCACATTTTGGGCCGGTGCAGAGCGGTCAGTTTCGGGTGGCCAGCCAGCGGCCGGTTTTGGGACCAGATTGCAGTCGGTATACAGGAGCAGCAGCAGCAGGAGGAGGAGGAGAGCCGACCCTTCCAGCGCCGCTCTCCGGGCGATGCCAGTGTAAATGCCAGGGCGATGTCCCGACGCAAGCAGGGGAACCCGCAGCACCTGTCCCAGAGAGAAATACCGCGTAAGTATATCTGCAAAAAATCACACACCACACCATATGGTTAGCTTTATTTTGTTTTTATTTTATTCATTTATTCATTCTGAGGATTTTTCTCTCCGGATGATCGGTGCGTAAAAATGATTTTTTCAAACTTGGAACAGAAAGTTTGTCAAAGTGGCTCCTGAAGGTCAATTTCTTTCTTTTCCTGTTTTATTGACAAAATTAGATAAAAGTCTTAATTTAATGATCGGATCATTACGGTGTGTAAATAAGCCTCTTTTATTTGAAGCAAATTCACAGAGTAGAGCGTGTTTGACTTCTACTCGCGGAGAAGTCGGAGATAAACCCTGGTACTTCACTGAGACACGACGTCCTTATTACTGTTCCACTTTTAATTAAATTAAAACCGGACGCGTTGGGGAGAAATGTACTTCATATCAACACACAATAAAACCTAACTGTAATTGTAATCGGTTCTTACTTTCATAATATAACAGCAGCTCTGTTATATTCACATGAATACACACAAAAAGAAGTCACTGATGAATTCGAGAATTTAATTGTGAGAAATTCTCTTCATCTTCCACTGAAGGAAAAAGGCCGATAGTCGCATCACAAACATGAAGATGCAGCTGCCGCAAAGAGAAAAGCTCCTGAGTTCAATCAGAGATGGTTCTTCTTCTTCTCCGGTTCAACACGGAGACTTTTCTCTTCTCTTTTCCTGCAGGTTATTGAAGCTTTAGCAGAAACACTCCAGCCTCCTCCTCCATGCTCAGATGAGTTCAGTTCCGTTCATGCTGCATGGATGCAAAGTTTACAGGCTGCTTCCCCTGGTTGTAATATTAATGCTGCTGGCTTTGGATTATTTAACAGCCTGCACGTCTTGACAGGGAAAAATTCTGGGGTTTCCTCCCGGCACTTTAATACAGAGCAGCTCCAATAAATGATGTCAGTTAAGGTCAAAATAGCTTGAGTTATATTTAATATCATCTCCAAGGCTTTTACTGCGGGAGAATTAAAATAGTTAGAAAAGAAATTAGTTTTTTCTTTTGCAAAGAAAATTTTACAAAAAAAAAGAAAAAAAAAAATCAAACGTAAATTTTGCAAATGAATCCGCAGAGGAAGCCATCGCTTCCCTCTTATTCGACGCAAACTCTTGATATTTGTGCGCAGATAAACTTCTCAGCAGTGATACAATTTTAATACCAGCTGGACCAGCAGGACTTTAACTACTGAAGGCGCAGAATATTAGTGCGGGACAGTGAGTGACAGGTCTGCATGGTTGAGTCTGAATGAAGGAGGAGGTTGTAGATGCAGCTCAGTATCATGACTTTACATTTGGTGAATATGAGCACTCTCTTTCCTCCAGCTGGAGGTTACTTGGGGAGACTTGTGCTGTGTGAAGCCTGCCAGATCAGATCACTTACACTACAGTGTATCAGTGTGCACCCATGTTTACAGTAGAGACTCAGCATGGCTGTACGCTGAGTGCGTGTCCGTGCCCAGGTTTTGGGCCATGCTGCCTGACTGTCTGAAGGCTCGGTCCTCTCTGCTGCGTGGCCTGGCTTTTTGGCATTCTACTGTCAGTCCCCAACGCTCATGAACACACACACACACACACACACACACACACACACACACACACACACTTAAAGACGCTGCTTGTGGCATTGATGTCAGATCACCTCCTGACAAGTGGAGATTTGATTGCTTAACAGAGCTACTTGTGTGTGGCAGTTCAGACACAGGCCTGCAGTCTGGACTCGGTTACCTTTAGAAATGGGTCACATTGTGCACGCTGCATGCTTTGCTGTGACATAAGCTTCTGAAGCAAAGAGCAGAGAAAACACATTAACACAGTGACAGGTAGACAGACAGACAGACACTAGACGAGGAAAGACGACAGAGCATGCAGATGAAGGATAATAAATGAGCTTCCTGTTTGCACTGTGTAAAAAGCTGCTTTACACTCACTCTGTGTGTGTGTGTGTGTGTGTGTGTGTGTGTGTGTGTGTTTGTGTGTGTGTGTGTGTGTGCACGTGAGTGTATGTGAAGTGTAAAATGCATTTTGTTTGTGTCCTCAGAGCAGGTCTGAACTGTCTATCTGTCTGATTTTATGCTGTACATTCCATAATTCATGTGTAAGAGATGCTCCCTGATTTATTATGCTTGAGTACACACACACACACACACACACACGCACACACACACACGCACACACACACACACAGCAATCAACACAATAATATATAATATATATATATATATATATATATATATGTGTGTGAGCTTGTGTGGACATGAACACACACCTATATGCAAATGAACACGTGAACCCCACCCCCCAAATTCAGAGTAATTCATTCCCGAGCTGTCAGGTCATAAAATGCATTTGACCTGTGTTTTAATTGGAGCATTTTAAATTTTTATTTTCCAACAAGAGGCGACACACACTCCAAAAAAAAACCATGAACTCTAGATTTGAATAGGAGAAGAAGAGGAAGAGTTACTCCACCTCTTTTGTCTTTCAGTATCCTCTCCTGAGTGCGAGGAGGTGTTGGGAACAGTGAAGTAATTTTTTCTGAAGGTTAAATTGCTAATTTTTTTAAATGCAGTTTGGCCTGAGTCATAAAGTGACATTCTTACGCTGTGATGGAAATATGAGATATGATCTTGCAGCCCTTTTTTTTTTTTTTGCACATACAGTTGTCCCCTCTAATTCGTCTGCTTCCCTTTGTTTCCATCTGTTTTTGTATGATTAGAACACGTTTAAAAAAAAAAAAAGTAATCAATAAGGGATCACAGTTTGGCCTGGAATCCACTGTTCAGTGCACTCCATGAACACTGAGTAATAATTTGCATGTTAATTGTCTCGTTCTGCAGTAAATATGTCTGATGCTGCAGCACATCCCGCACTGTAGCTTTCCATTTCTCCTCATTCACACTCGTTTCCTGCAACGTTAAAATCAAACAGTCCGTCCTGAGTGGGTGATCTGATGTCGCTTCTCCCTCAGAGACACACAGGGAAGATTAATCAGTGGAAATCTATATATATATTTTTTTGTTTGTTAGGCAGATTCAGTGTGTGTTTTGGTGTCACCACGCAGAGACAGTTTACACCCGAAAGTGCAGACGTGCCTTCTGCTTCTCATTCACTGCAAATAACCCCAGCTTTTCCTCCGAGAGGCTGATTTAGTGTGAAGAGACGCAAACAGGACAAGAGCTCCCATTGTAGACACACACACACACACACACACACTCACACACACACACACATGCACAGAGAGAGAGAGAGAGAGAGGGCTGTGTGTAAATTGCAGTCGCCCACTTGAGATGCATGTTTCCCTTTGGCTTGTCAAATAGCCGTGCACCCTGCTGGGTCTAAGTCTTTGTTAGAGAGAGAGAGAACCTGGCAACTCCGTCTGTTAGATTCACTGAGTCGTTCTGCACATGAGCTGTTTTTAAAAAAAAAAAAAAAAAGCCACAAATGAAAATGTTGGTGTGTTATTAAGTGTCACAGCTGATCGGGACGAGAACATAATGATATTCCTAATAATCCCTCACTGTTCTAACAAATGTCCTTGTTACAAATAAAGCTCCGTTCACACTAATTAACTAAACATATTTTTTCATTGTAAACAGTTGTAATTAAAGGGATAGTTCCTGTAAAAACCTGCAGACAGTGAGGTATGTGTGTGTGTGACACAGAGAACACAAAATAGGTAAATGAGAAAATGTTTAACATTCCAGTTTTACTTATTTCTGGTTTCCAGAAAAACACATAAAAAGTTTTTTGTTGGAAATTGCATTAAAAAAATGCGTGAATTTTTAGAGTGTGTGTGTATGTGGGTATGTGTGTATGCATGCGCATGTGTGTGTGTGTGTGTGTGTGTATCTATGAATCCTCAGGACGAAGGTTTTCAGTTCCCAGAGAGCAAGCCTAAACTCATGTTGTTGATCAGCAGGCTGCACACACTCTCCCACTACTGACACCACACACACACACACACACACACACACACACACACACACACACACACACAACACACAACACCACACAACACACACAGGCACACACACACACACACACACACACACACACACACACACACACACACACACACACACACACACACACACACACACACACACACACACACACACACTGCATACCAGAGAGTTGGTTTGCTCAGCTGAGGCTTGGTGAGCTGTCTGTTGTCTCTTGCCCTTCACCATCAACCCTCCCCCTCCCCCCAAACTCCCTCTCTTTATTCCTCTATGCCCCCCCCCCCTCTTGCTCTGTCTGTCTCTCCGTGTCTCTCTCTCTCTCTTCCTGCTAGGGGGAGCTCTCAGGCTGTCAGTGCTGCACTCGCTCTCCCAATGAGAGGAGCAGCACAGTGCGAACATGCAGCGTGTGTGTTTGTGTGTGTGTGTGTGTGTGTGTGTGTGTGTATGTGTGTGTGTGTGTGTGTGTGAGTGTTAATCAGATGACATCAGTGTTGAAAGACCACATTCACCTCTTAACCGTCAACACCTGCACACTCTGTTCTTGACTGTCTCTCTCTCAGTCACACGTTCAATTTGCACCCTGTAACCTACTGTAAATTCATGACAGTGGCTGACTGACATCTATAGCAGTCACCGTCAGTGTGTGTGTGTGTGTGTGTGCCTTCACACTGTAGTGTGTTGATATAGTGCAGCAGCTCGAGAAGTTGTAGTTCTCCTTTTTTAAGTTTATATTTTGCACTTTGGTTTTTAGATGTGAATTGTTTTTCCTTTACATGTTGAATGACATGTTACTGCTGTTCAGAGCCTTTTGTGCTGTTTCTGTGGAGCGCTTCGTCTCTACCACAGCATCTCCCAGGGCAGGTGGCTCACTACGTGCTCACATCTTCTTCCTCTTCCTCCTGAACTTTCTGTAGCTAACACCGCCACATCAGACTGAGACAAATGTGCAGAATTATTTGCACATTCGCCTCCAATGCGTGTGTCACGGGCTCGACGCGGTAATCCTGACTGCGACCAGCGCGGGGATTTACCTCCAGATGAACTTGAATTAGCTTTGAGCTAAACAGGTTTTCATTTGAAACCGGGTCAGATTTTAAAATAGGCTGTGAATCATAACGGTGGGATGTTTATTCTCAGATATTATGTTTTAAAAATGTGAATAAATCTCTATAGAATTCACGTGAGATCTCAGCTGTAAAATCTTTATAATGTTTTTTTCGGGCGTCATTCTGACAGTCGAAAATTGTGACGTTGTGATTACCTGCGTCAACACAATGTGCACACATACGAAAGTAGACGAGTCACATTTGAAATCAAAGAAATCATGAACAGAACACAAAGGCTCCTCAGTACAATTAATCCACCGTTTGTGTTTTCAAAGCTGACGTTGGATGCAAAGTCACTCATGTCAACATCATGTATGTTTTCAGTATCAAACTGTATGTGATGCTGCAGGTGTGTGTGTGTGTGTCTTTGTGCATTCTCTTTGGTGTATGAGGAAATGAGTGTAAGTCAATGTAAGGTCCTGGGTGTGTGTGTGTGGGTGTGTGGGGGTGTGTGTGCAGTGTCACGCACAAACATTTGCTCTGGATTTTAGAGCTTGCATGTGCGGTGGAGGAAGCAGCAGTAAAGTCTAGTTTTGATAAAGTTTTTCACACACACACACATGCACCCACACACACACACACACACACACACACACACACACACACACAGTGTCACTGGTCTTCACACAGAGCTGTTCTGGGGACAGTTTTCAGGTTTTGGTCAGGGAATTTTTGATGCTGGTAAAAACTGTAAAATCATTCAAAAAAAAAACTGTAGAAGAGAAGAAAACAAATATTTGAGAAGCAGCTTGCTGCTAATACGCTTTTCCATTTGTGTGTGTGGATATAATGTGACAGTTGTGTGGAGAGCATGAAGGGTGTAGATGGATTAACAGCACATTTACAGTGATAGGCAGAAAACAAAGGAAGCCAAAACTCAAAGACGGTGGCTGCTCGCAGGGAACTTCTCCCTGACGACAGGAATTCAAAGCCGTGCCTTTTTGGCCTCGACTGGAGCCAAACGCTGTATTTCAGCCCTGCAGACACCTGTTGCCTTGGCCTCACTGCAGATACTGTAGATGGTTTGTCAACAGTGTTATTTTTATTGCAGTGTTATTTTTGAGCTGTTCATTTTTAGACATTCCTTGTCTTTTGATTTTTCTGTTCTTCTTCACTGCAATCCTATTAGCACTCATGCCTGACTCACATCAGCCTTATTAGGTAAATCAGGCCAAAGTGACGCTTCTTCCTTTGCATTTGTCATTTGCAAACACACTGTTGACTTAATCGGCGTGCATTAAATATGGGCGAAGAAACCGCACACTTTATTTATTGATGCAGTCTTTGAATATCTCCTGAAACTTGCTCCAGCTGCTGTGGATGTGACGGTGTTTCTGCAGTCGAGTGTAAATGTTAGAATTTTTCTGTGGTTTCAGAACATCCTGATGTAGTTGATCAAGGCATCTTCACACACACACACACACACGCACGCGCACGCACACACACAAACACACACACACAGGAAGTCTGCTGTGTATTTGAGGTCTGTCATTTTTTTTATCATGTGTCTATAATGGTTAATTTCTCAGATGAAGTCAGGTCAGTGGGGGTCAGTGTAAGTGTGCAGTGTATTTGTTCCAGGTCAGCTCACCGGCTTTATTCTCTTTCATGTTTATCACTGGAGGAACATGGCTGTTCATTTCAATAGAGTAAGGACAGATGGCTGCAGCCTGCAGGCCACACACACACGCACATACACTACATGCATACACAATGCATATGTGTGTTTGTATCCACATGGTACACATGCACACACAAACCTGATCCGACACACGGTGCATGCAGTACAAACATGCAACGCATGCACACATGCAGACGGAGTGGAGGAGATGGTGTGTGGAGATGTGGGCTGACAGAGACACACTCTACACCTGCTCACACACACACATACTCATACTTGCCATAGAGAGATAGATACTTTATTTATAGCCATAACAACAACAAAATAAATCATGATAATAGAATAGAAAGCTTTAGCTAAAATTAAAATTTTTTTAAAAAGTTTTTTGTGATTATGAAGATGAGAATAATTAAGATGCAAACAATAAATGATAAAATATATTGTAAAATGTACGTTGATTTCATAGGTTATTATTACTAAGTAAATAATATCAATTATGATTTATTTTAATAGCTGTAGTTTTTATTTATTTGTCATGTTGCCCACCAACCTATTTACATAATATAGTTTTATGTTTAGCAATAACATTTGCGTATGTATATATGCATATGTATTCATATAGTGTATACCTTTATGCGTATTTACATATATATTTTTTTTATCTTTTTGTGTTTTGGCTTTTCCTTTTCTTTCCTTTTTCCTGTCTCCTTTTTATTTTTATCTGTGTTATTAATTGTTTTATAATTACGCTAATCCTAATATTGCTATTACCACTACAATAATAATATCTATTAATCTGAACTGTATTAAATACAACAGTGGAGGTCAGAACTCCCTATGGCATCCCCAACTAAATCTGATGGCTCATGAGATCATTCCGTTTTTTCAATTTTTAATTTTATTAAATTTAATTTTATTCTTATTTTTTGTGGTTGTGCGTTTCTTGACTTTGACTTTGTTTTAAGGGGCCACAAGCAGAAAGGCAGCGGAGCTGTAGACACACGGTGTATATGAGCAGGATATTCAAGAGGTTTCATGCCAGTCAGCAGTGTATTTAAAAACAGACCTATAACGCAGGTATGTGGCGAGGTGGTTGCTCCATCTGGAGCCTTCGTCTGCATTTGACACCCCAAATCTGTTTGCATTTCTAATGTGGAGGCCAACCTGCTGCTAATCCATCATCTCATATTAGAGAGAGAGTCAGAGAGGATGATGATGATGATGATGATGATGATGATGATGATGATGATGACGATTTTTATTTTTCTTCAGCCTCTTTCAGACCTCCTCACTCCTTCACAGGTGATGATCTAAACCAGTCCCCTCACTTACAGCCTGTTCATAAAAGCATGAATATGTCTGACTCCTCCACTCAGCTGATGAGGATGGCAGGAATAATGACCCAATAAAAGTGAATGTTAAAAAAAAATACCAGCATCTCACTCAAATCAACTTAGAGTTTGTTGACCTTTAATGGAACAGCACAGAGTCTGTATCACCAGACATCGGTTTTTGATAAAGAATTAACATGGACACATAAATCAGTCGTTCACAAAGTGGTGGTCCGGGACCCCCAAAGATAAGGTCAGAGGATAAATTGTGCTTCACACGATTATTCTTATTTTTGGAAAATCACGGTTTGGTTTGTCGTCTGCAAGTGTCACAACCAACACAACCGGGTCACAACCGGTAGACACTCGCAGGGTGATGTAATGTATCTAATATAAATGTAGTTCTCTTCACACACAAAAATGCAGATTTATCAAAATGTTCTCTGTATGTGTGTATATGTGTAAGACTGAATAAAAATCTCACTAAATGTCAAGTTTGATTTGTACGTTTGCAAATGTTGATAAAGAGGGCGGAGGGAAAAGCCGGAGAGGGGCAGGAGATGATGAATCAGACAAACGGGGTTGAGGGTGCACAGTGTCAGACTGTCTCTCCTTGAAAACATTCATGATGTCGCATCCAGCTGTGCAAACGGTGGGAGGAGTTGTGTGAGGGAAAAGAGAGAGCGTTTGAGTTTGAGGGAAGTTCAGACCCTTCCTTCGTTTAGACCTCTGAAGGCCTGAAGGTCGTTGGATTGTTTGGGGAAGTCGCACAAATGTTTGTCGGGTGATTCTCCTGGTGGATCCTGCTTCATGGTTACTGTAGGAAACAGCATGACAGCAGAGCCTTCCCACAGTTATCCAGGGAAAAGAACAGGAAACGCAGCCCCTGCAGGGTTTTGCCTATCGATGTCAGTCCCCAATTCAAACTACCTTTGTTTTTCTCTATCTAAGTCTCAGTCCAGGTGTTAACTCATGTCTCTTCTGTTTTTCTCATTGGACAGCAGAGGTTGAGCATCCAGATGGCAGCCTGCTCTCCGACTCCTTACCCCATCACCCGCTCGGCCTGCCCTCCCACACACTTGGCCTACCTCCTGACCCGCTGGTGCCCGGCCTGGCCCACGCCCTGCCGCCCGGCCTCCATGCCGACCACGACCTGCTCACCTGCGGCCAGTGCCAGCTGACCTTCCCGCTGGGTGACATCCTCCTCTTCATCGAGCACAAGAAGAAGCAGTGCCAAACGCCGTTGCTGGCTAATGGCTGCTATGACAAGATGAACGACCGAGGAGGAGGAGGAGGAGGAGGAGGAGGAGGAGGAGGAGGGAGTCCCATGCTGCAGGGCCTTCATCACCACGGCCAGCGGGTGGAGCTGAGGAAGGTGGTGGAGCCGGTGGAGATTGGCATTCAGGTGACACCAGAGGAGGAGGAGGAGGTGGGACGAAGAGGGGAGGGAGGTGAGAGGGGAGGGAGGACGCCCCCCAAAGGAATTTGCCCCAAGCAGGAAAACATGCCGGCAGGTAGGCACAATGAACACACACACACACTTTGTGAAGGAACAGTTCCACATTGTAGAGAAAACACTTACCTGAAGATGAAAATCAGTGTTCAGCACAGGGACCTGGTTAGCCTAGCTTAGCATAAAGACTGGAAACAGCGGTATGTTTTTTGAACAGAACAGAAAAGTTTTTTTTTGTTTTGAGGGGATTTTTTTTATACATTAGAAAAATTTCTCGACCGACAGCAGTTGTAGCAGATCAGGCTAAAAATAAATGTAAAGGGTGCAATTGTTGTTACGTGTTTCTGGATGAGAGAAGCCTGACACCTTTAAGGCAGCATATGAAATATGAGTTGTGGAGAGGAAGCCCTGCCTGTGTTTGTCTGTAACAGTCTGAAAATGGCTTCAGCTACTTGCCAAGAAAGTGTATTATTGGAGGTATCACCCCTTCACAAGCCAAACTTCTTCTTCATCTTAACACTTAAAGTCTGACTTCTGAAGATGTTAAAAGTGTGTTTACACTGTGTTTTCACTTTTATCTTGGAGACACCAGTTTTCCAGTGTGGAGAGACCACTTCTTTTTTTTTTTCTTTTGCTGTAGTTTTATGCAGTGTTACAGCTCTGTGTTGCTGCCCTCAGCTTTGTTTTGTACAGTGTAGTTTGCCAGATACAGTTTTCTTTAGTCACCAAACCTGTCAGCTGGGATGTCCCTAAACTCCCCCTTTAACCACAAGTTGTATATTTTATATTTCTTTTTGTTAAACAGCAAAACACAACTTATCAATCAGTGAGCTTTAGAGATGAGGGCAGGGTTGTTTTAGCACAGAGTAGGGCTAGCTGTTTCCCCCTGCTTCCAGTCTTTATGCTAAGCTAGGCTAACCACGTCTCATCTCCACTTGTACAGACATGACACTGGTATCAATCTTCTCATGTCAGTGTCAGAAAAAGGCAAGAAACATATTTCCCAGAATGCTAAAGTATTCCCTGTAGGAAGGAGGGATGGTGAGGTGTTTGAGAACCTTTTTAACATAACACACTCGCACATGAATGGACGTTTTCAAGACGCAGCCCGTCCTCTCTGGGAGAGAGAGAGAGATGTTGGTTCCATTAGAAGGAGAGGACAACAGAGAGAAGGGGAGAGAAGGGAGAGACAGGCACATTACCCACTCAAAGCCCTAAACCCCCTCAAGGACTCGGTTAGTTGAAACAAATTGTGCAAAACATGACAGAGAGACTCACCCCGACTTTCATGGAGAAATCCAGCCTAAGCCATCTGCTTAAAAAGGTGAAAAGCTCATTAAAATTCAAATAAGCAAAGGAGGAAAAAACACTATGAAAGCAGAAGGAGGAGGGAAAAAAACAGAGAAAGGGGGATTAAAAAGAGGCTAGTTTCTCCCCCATTCAGTTTGGTAAAGAGGCATTTTAGCAGGAGAGCAGCTGCAGGAGGAAGAGCAGCAGCAGTTCTCTCAAACCAGTCAAGACGCTCATAAAAGAGCCAGAGGGAAAGATTCAGGCTGCTTCCTCTCAGCCGTCCTGCCTCCCTACAGGTCACCGCTTGTACCAGACTGCAGTCAGTGTCAGCGGCTCAATGAGAACTTCTCCAAGATCATCTGTCCAGTCTGACACGATGACATGAGACACACAGCAGTTTACTGTCCAGGATACAGCACATCCTGATGTGTCCATTCATAGATTTAGGTCACATCAAATCCATACTGGCAGGTTCATACAGCCTCGTGTTGCTTTTTAGAAAAGTAGAAAAATCAAAGGCGTGTTTGGAAAATTCTGTTCGGCCTTCTCCTGCTTCAGACAAACGATATAGATATTCAGCTTCTTTCCACAAGCGCAACACACAGAAGAAAATATAAGATATAGCTGAAATGCAACAAAAACTCAGAACCTCTAGATCCCCAGATTCACCTTGATGATGCTTCATACACAAATAAACCCTAATAAACAAGCATTTAGCAGTCAGAGGGAAATTAAATAGATTAAAATCAAAGGTAAAATGTAATTAAAAACTTAATAAAACACAAACAGACAAAGAAATACAAGTTTGTCTTCAGCGTAAACAACCACACCATTTAATTTAAAACACTACATTTTTTTGGTTGTGTTGGTGAAAGACTCATACAGCAGTTTTCAGGTGGGCTCTAAACACAGAAGCAGAACACAGATGTGTCCAGGTGTGTTTCATGTATCTCGAAGAATCACTGGTATTTTAAAATCAGTGCTCTTACACATCAGAGTTGTACTGAGAAAAGACAGCAGCCTTTCTGCATGAGAACAGGAACAAACACGTTGATTATAAAACAAAGAGTATGTGGTAAAGGATGTGATGATTTGCTGTACAGTAATTAAACCTGGCTTTGAATGTTCTAAAATTCACACCGAAACCTGTTTCCAAAGGGATGATATGAACACATTTGTTTACACATAACTAATAACAATCTGCATTTTGCCTCTGTGAAATAATTAAATCCTTTATTTAAACAGGTCGTCTCATTGAGATCGAGATCTCTTTTTCAACAGAGACAAAAAATGTACAAATGTACAAAAATAAACATCTACAGTTTATAAATTGACAGAGATGCACAAAGAGGCAATTAGAATGGACACACACAGATAATTCACATACATTATACATTACAAGTACAGTCTTTTAAACTCTTCCAGTGAAATAAGAGAATGTAACTAGCTCATTCCATCTGTACAAGTTGTGTGAACAAGAGCTACAGTTAAAACGTCCCGTGACCTGACGTAAGTTTAAATGTAACCAGAGAGTACAGATATCTAGGTAGTTTTTGCAGCAGAGCAATACAGTGCTGCTCCCTTCTGTTTATTAAGGAGGGCCATCCCACCTTTTCATATAGGATGCAATGACGAGTTCGAAAAATTTCATCTGTGACACACAGAGTCAAGAGATTCAGTGTGGTGAGAGAAACATGCACACAAACTGTAGATTGTACAATGGTCTTTCAGACGAGAAACGTGATTTGTTTCTGTAAAAAATCCAATTTTTGCTTGATAGGTGTTTAAACAAACTATAACTGATGCTTTTCTGTAACTCAGGAAGCTCAGTGTGTTCTCAGTCACTGGTTGGAGACACCTGTGGTTTGCTCTGTTTATAGCGACGTTTCTAAAGTTTGTGTAAAACCTCCCTGACACAAGTCGATCCATCAGCAGCACTGAACTAAACTTAGCAGAGCAGGACTTGGCCTGGAGCCATAGGAGGAAGTGCTCTCACAGGTAACACTCCTGCAGCGGGACACAGCTCCTCTGAATGTGTCAGTCTGCGGTTTGGCTTGCACTGTAAAACACTGTGTTTGGGCCTGAACTTCATCAATATTTTACCAGGCTGTTCCACAGCTGTGGACAGCGCAGCCACCTGAACCTCTGAGAGCGACGCCACTTTAGCTGTGTAGTTACGCCGCGGCTTTACATCCAGCACGTAGCTGGGCCGGAGGAGGGTGCGAGCCGCAGAGCGTCTGCAGAGCTGCACTCAGGCGTGTGCACTAATTGATTGGCGTTGGTCACGTTATTAAGTCGGCATTATTCATATTTATGTGCATAAGTATATTTTCCCTCCTGTGTTTAAACGCTCGCAATATATCTAACTGTAATCCTCCTGTGAAATCAGCTCCACATGTGCAGCGTTGGAAGGCTTCAAATTGTAATTGCACAATATTTCTTCATAACAGAACACGCAATAATTTTCACATTAAAAGCAAAAACATATTAGCAGCTCAATTGGACGTGCACTGCGGCAACTGTAAACTATATTGCTGCAATAACATTTTATGTTTCAAAATTACCCTCGGTATTTCACAATTTCCACATGAAATATGTCCAAGTAGGAACCTTATTAACACGAGGAGAGGACAGAGGGGTTTATTAATGGAGCTGGAGTTTAATTTGGAGAGAACACGCTCAGCTCCACTCATAATCACCGGGGGATTGAAATATGGCAGGTGGAATTTTCTCTTTGTAACTCAGACCGAGCTTTTTCCTCCTGTAGATTTTTACACCTTTCATTACCTGGTGAAAGGGAAAAGAAAGGGGCGAGAGACGTAGGGGAGGAAGCAGGAGAGCGAGGGGAAAAGTGATCAGGGAGTTTGAATGTCAGCTCAGAACACGACTGACGACAACGCTTCGTAATTGGCTCCCAGCAGGTCAAACTACTCCTTTATTCTCAAGCTTTTTCACTTCCATTTCTTCTCCATGTTAAATGGAACACACACAAACACACACACACACACACACACACGCACACACACACACACACACACACACACACACACACACACTTACATGTGAATCAAGACAAGTTTTTTTGTCCTCCTAAATTAGAAGTGTGTGTTTTTTCTTTGCTCTGTGTCGCAGCCGTTTCTCTGAAATGAAAATCAAGCAGCACTGAGCTTCTCTCAGTTAAACTGGATTCAGTGCTGATGAACAGCTCCAGTGGTTTTCGCACAGAAACACACTCATTAGTCTCTTCTCTCTCACGGGTCACACACACCATCTTGTGTTGTTGTTGTGACCGCTCTGTGTCAGCCTTGCTCACTGACAGGCCGCAGACAGGAAGGCGTGTCTCAGTTTTCCCTTTAGCTGTTGTTTTTTAATTCTTGAGATTTGTGTCAGTGTGTGAACTTTATTTCTTAATATTGTGTAAAGCAGCAGATCCCAACCTTTTCCATCTCATGGCCCACATTTATATATATATATATAAATAGATAGATATATATCTATCTATTTATATATTTTTTTTTATCAGATTACATATTTTCACAAAAATTGTGGGTTCTGGCCTACAGTGATGCAGCTGACCTACAGTTGTAAGAGAAGTAAAATCAGCTGGTTGCTGCGGAATATAAAATAATTCAGGTCACATGAAAATGTCAGTTTCACTGTTGATGCTTCTTCATGTCATGCTGTACACTTACATGTTTTACACTGCAGACAGCAGAAGAAGGTTTTCACCAGAACATGAATGATTAATGTTTGTTAAACCAGGACTTTTTTGATT